AGTGTGAAATCATGCGGCCAGAGCACTCAGAGCATCCAGAGCTTACTCGGAGACAAGTGGGAGACAACTGGGAGACAAGTGTGAAATCATGCGGCCAAGCACTCAGAGCATCCAGAGCTTACTGGGAGACAAGTGGGAGACAAATGGGAGACAAGCCTGAAATCATGCGGCCAGAGCACTGAGAGCATCGAAAGCTTACTGGGAGACAACTGGGAGACAAGTGGGAGACAAATGGGAGACAAGTATAAAATCATGCGGCCAGAGCACTGAGAGCATCCAGAGCTTACTGGGAGACAAGTGGGAGACAAGGGTGAAATCATGCGGCCAGGAACACAAGCCCGGAGACAAACTCAAAATCATCCGGCCCGAGCATGCACCCCTTTAAAGGGAGTAAGAACCCCTCACAGGTAAACCTGTTTGGGGAACAAAGGTCATGTCATGGGCTCTATTTCAATGTATTCAGTAACAGTTAGTGCCTGACACCAAGGATCTGGAAGGAGAATCACAAACTGACCAAACCCAAACCATCCATGCGTGGAATCGATACTATATTACATGATATTGCTTTGACCCCTAAAGCCACCCCAGTGTAAGTGCCTCTTCCACACATCGATACGTTCAAAACCGGTTCAGAAAGGCATGGACATACCGACATACCCATACCATGTCTGGCATATGATATTTGCCTACATCGAGGTGGTTGAAAAGGGGGCAATGTAGGTCAATACACTGGTTTCAGAGGAAACCCATGGCGGCACCCCAGCATGTCTAGATTGAGGTTCGATGGCGGCACCACCATGTCCGACTGGGGTAACTCGTGCCATCGAAGCTCCGAAAGCTCGTTTTTTCCCCCAATCCCATACACGACGTCCATGGGACTGGGCAGTCAGGACTGCTGCCCCAGAAAGACCCCCCCCCAGTCAACCACCACTATGTGGGCGTTTTGAAGGCAGTCCGGACTGGCAGTCCCAGACGGGTCACGCAGTCCACGTCTGGGAATGGAAATGGATGGTGTCGGTCCGATCGATCCGAGCCTCAGCAACACGTAGTTTCAGCTGCTGAGCATCCTCCTGGATGTCGGTCTCGAGTCTCGTCGCCGGTCTCGACGTCGTGCCCATGTGTTGTGGTAAAAACTGCGGGGAGTGACTTGAGGAATTCGCCAGCAAGACTCGTACTGCAAGAAGCAACCTTCAAGAATTTGTTTGTCCCTCAGGTGTTTTGATATATATAGTTTTTGTTTCTAATTTTCAAGTGTGGTTGCACTAGGGTCCAGCAGAAAGCATATCACAGGAATCCCGGTCCTGAAGCGCATGAAAATACCTCCGAAGTTCCGATCTTGATATCAACTTTCAACTCACTTGAATAACGCTAGTCAGTGGCTTCAATCATCCCAAGTAAAGGTCGCAAAAAAACACCCAGATGATATATATATATATATACAGATTCGCCAGCGTTGACAGTCACACGGATTTGCCACTGAGATCGAGGAAACCCATAGGAAATGTGTAGTCCCTATCTTAATCACTCTATAAAAACACATACCACATGCCACCGGACTGAGTCACATCCCCCACACATGTCACATGTCCGTGTGAGGAAGACGAAAACCATCACCATCCATCCACCACCCTCAATGCTACTCACCCACCTCCCTACGGTCCACCCTCCGCCCGTAGCGGTCCACCGGAGCGGTCCACCCGTCCACCCGTCCACGCACCGATCTTCGGGGCTGCGATCCGATGTTCGGCCTCGCAGCCCCGTGACCCCCATCCGAGTTCGGTCTCCGATTGTTTCGGAGTTCGGATCGGAAGAATTGGAGGCCTCCCAGGTGTGGAGTTCGGTCTTTTTACTGGACAACGGGCCGTCCCGGAAAGCGCAGGGGAAAGCAGCGGCTGTTCGTTTTGGCCACGTCCCACTTGGGTCAACTGGCTGGACAAACCATTGGGCACCGGAAGTGCGGTGGTGTTCACTTCCATTCTACCTCAACACGGCCTTTCTGGGACTGGCTTATTGTCCAATATTGGGCCAGGCCGGCTGTTAGAGAAGGGCAGCGCCTCATCTGCGCACACAGATTTGGCTCATCTGCGCACACACATTTTGTTAGC